TTTGTGGGCTAAATCAGGGTTTCCAGGTGGGCACTGCTGATGTGAGGCTGGAGACTCCCTGGTGGTCAAGGGGTGTCCTGTGTCCTGAAAGGCCCCTGGCAGTGTCCCTGGCCTCTGCTGACTCCCTGTGCCACATCAGCGGCACCTCAGGTGTGCCTACCCAAAATGCCTCCAGCCATTGTCAGCCACTGGGTTAGACTAATAGGCCTTAATGTAAGGTATGGCTAGTTGGTTTAATTTCATATCGTTTTTTTCTTTTTTAAAAATTTTTATTTATTTATTATTTATGTGTATGTGTGTGTGTTGTGTGTGTGTATGTGTGTGTGTGGCCAGCTCAGCCCACCAGGGGGCGGCCCTGGCTGGCATGTGGTGCTGGGGGATTGAACCGTGGTCCCTTTGCTTTGCTAAGCTTTAGACCACTGATCCATCTCACCAGCCCCATATCGTTTTTACTGCACTACAGATCAGAAAGTTAGTGGAATCCATGTTAAATAATCCTCTAAAGCATAAGGGAGATTGATCATACTTAGAAAATTCTGCTGAAACTACTGCAATTTGCTTTTGTTACATTCAGAATTCAAGCCTTTAATATTTGACATTAGAAAGTAAGCATGGGCTGCCTTATTTGCACAAACATTATATGCACAAACGTTACCTTTCCTAAAACAAAAACAAAAAACTGCAAGTCTTCCGTTAAGTTTTGGTTTGGCAAACTAAGAAATTAAGTTTCTAATTACATTTGAAAGCAATTGTGTTCAGGGGACTGAAAAGGCATTAAACATACAGACTACTGAAGTACTCATTAACAAACCAAATGGGCTGGGGAGATAGCTCAGTAGAATAAGTGCTTGCAAGTGCAAAGACCTGAGTTCAATCCCCAGTTCTGCCAAAAAAAACCCCTACCAAATGTAAGGGGTATGTGGTATTTATTTATTTGGTGAAACCAGGGATTGAACTTAGGCGCTTGTACTTGCCAGGGAAGCGCTTTACTGAGCCATCTCCCCGCTCCCAGTATGTGGTATTTAAAAGTACCCTAGAAACAGAAAGTCTGCCTTCACTCCCAGAGGTGGTTACAGTTTCCCTCATGGAACCAAACAGAACCTGACAAAAACTAATGCTCTGGGGGCTGGTGAGATGGCTCAGTGGTCTAAAGCACCTATTTACAACAAGCTAAGCTAAGCAAAAGGACAGCGACCGGGGTTCAATCCCCAGCACTACATGCCGGCCAGCCCGCCCCCTGGTGGGCTGAGCTGGCCACACACACACACACACACACACACACACACACATAAATAAATTAAAAAAAAATAATGCTCTGTAGAGTCAACACTTAACATCAGAAGGGGCCGGGGAGATGGCTCAGTGGAATAAGCGCTTCCCTGGCAAGTGCAAGGGCTTGAGTTCAATCCCCAGTTCGAAAAAAAAAAAAAAAAAAAAAAAAAGAAAATTAACATCAGAGGTCGAAGGAAGCGGAATAGCAGTGCTGTTATTGTCAGCATGGATTTAACATTGCTAAGCAGTTTATGAGCATGATCTAATGTAATATTTATAGAAATTCAAAGAGTTATTTTGAAGATGAGGAAACTGAGTTTCAGAAGAAGTGCCCAAAGTTAAAGGGCCACTAAATGAAGTC